TGTAATTTAGTATCTTGCTGCTATAAATTTTTATCTGCAATTTTTATGATTGCATTAAAAACCAGTATATTTTCAAATACTATTAAGCAAATAAATTACTTATTACTGATGTTATCTGAATTTTTACGTAAAAATATCATCAAAAATAGTCGAATATTTTCGATGCGATGTGAATCATTTTTGTAAAAAATTGATATAAATTTTCATGGGACTTTTTTGAAATCGTCTTAATTTCTTGCATTTATTTGCATCCTAAAATATTCTAAATATTCCTTTAAAAGGCAATAATAGGCAACTAGAAATTCTGGCTAAAATCCAAATTATATGAATAATTACTTATTTATTTGCTTACTTACTTACTGACATATATTTCCAATCTTAAGCTAGTACATGAGAGAAATAACACGAATGAATACTTAAGAAATGCATCGACCGAAATAAATTGAAGAGTTAAACCATAATCGAGACAGTACTTAAAGTAAATTAAAGTTGGAGTCGTATAACAAATTTTTTGATTGCATTTTAGATATTATGCTATTAGTAAACTATTAGTATTAAACTATTAGTTGTTATAAAAAAATTTTTTCCATTTATTTCTTGCAAAAAAATTTCACTTCCGATTCCAATTTTCTTTAATGACCTAACTAAAGAGTCGTATTTCTTTTTTTAAGTAAAATTAGTCAAAAAAATGGTAAAAATTAGGTTAAATTCATTTCATTCGAAATTATTTTTCACGCGACTTAAGTTATTCCATTTTATTTCCTCTCTTTGTTTTTCTGTAATTATTTTTTCCTTTTCCGGATAAATTCACCTTGGAAATTAACTAAGGAAATTTACTGAAATTAGAAATTACCGAATAATTTGGCTATATGCAGTTTTTTAGCCTGAAAAAAACCAAGCTATTTATAAATATATTTACGATATTTGATCAACCTTTATCCACTTCCAGAGAGAAACAATAGCTATGTAATTGATAGTTCAGAATATTTAAGAATCAATGGTTTGACTTCTGATTCCAGTAAGAGCAAACATGCTATTTATGAAATCCGGATACTTACTTCTACTTCTATTACCCAAGTGGCCTTTTGGTAAAAATTTCTCACCTTTACTAATAATAGGGATGAGTCTAGCCAAAAATGGTGGGCATTAATCACTTATTTACTTGCTGACTCTCCTGTTGCAAGGTGGCTTTCTTTTTCTCGAAAACTAAGGGATAGTCAAACAACCAAAATATTTTAATTCTATTGATCAAAATTTCTAAAATTTTTTTCAAAATCTTCTAATAAATCCAAATGAAATACGGAAATAACGATAGATGAATGATTTCATTCATTTATCGTTATAATGGTTTAGAAAGTTATTTATAAAGATCTATTACAATAGAATCCTATAAACGTGTCAGAACCACTTCAATTGCCCATTTCTTTTTTCTTCACCTTAAAAGTAGAATCATATTTTGATGTAATAATGTAGTAATTTCGACTGGTGAATAAGAAAGTACATCATAAATATTGGTTAATTTAAAAATATTATTGCAACATTTTCTTGCATATTGCTATGATATAATTAATTAAATTAAAATCTCTGCGAAAATTGAAAATGTAGCACTTGTTAAAGCTATATACGACATATGACCTAGGTGAAAATAACTGCACTGGAAATTTGGAAATTTTCCCAAGACATATTTCTTCAATTGGTAATTTGTTGTACGTTCTGTTTTTTGTCTAGTAAAAGAAACTGGATATCGATCTCTCGCAAACAATTAAAAATAAATATTCCAAATAAAATTATTTGCTAAAATTATTTATTTATTTAGTTCCAGTGCAATTTATTAGATTGATATTTGATTTTGCATATAAACCAGCTACAAACTTTATAATTGGCATGATCGAAAGTGTTAATTGTCTGCTGAGTCTGTTAGTTCGCATTCAATCATTATGGTTCATAATTCTCGTCTACGTCAGCCTTTCTTTTGAACAAAATGGCAAAAATTTCTGCATTTAAATTATGATCGAACTTTCATACCATGCAGTCAAAAATAAATTTTCTAGAGTAGTGCATATCCTTGTTAAATCGCTAGGGTTATAAAAAATTGTCATAATGCATATAGGAATACAGCAAATTACTTCTGAATCTCCAGGAATATTGCAAATTGCCTCAACAGAAACTGACATTTTAATAAAATTATATTTATTTGCTCTTTAGGTTGAAAAAATGACATGCAGCTTTAATTTAAAAATTTCGGGCAACTTTTTTATAAATTTCTTCATTTCCACAACCGACCAATATTCCACAGATTTATCAATCTTATATGCTAGTGGGATATTAATCTAACCGGTTAGAATTGTTTTAACAACTCTATGAAGCCTAAGAAATATTCAAGCACACATCCCTTATGTATCGCCTGGCAATTATATTTTAGTTGATAAAGATTTAAAAAGAAAAATATTTTCCAACAGAAAGACTATTTAATTCGAGAATTCAGTTTCGATCAACCAATGATGCCCTTTGACAAAAGAATCATTTTCAAAATAACAAAAATCAAGTTTTTTATTCAAAGTGCACTTTGGCAAATTTTGCACCAGTCAATCGACAACCACCTTCTATTAAAAATTTGTACTTTTTTTTCTTCCTTTAATTTTCTCGTTAATTATTTAATTCTCCAATAATGATATAAAGATATAGCACAATTAGTATAATATTTGTTTAGGATAAAGGAAAATTACTGTAGTTGAAAAGCTGATTTTCCGAACGCCAGCAATTCAAATTGGCAATTCAAAATTTTTAGTTTGCCATACTCGTAATTTTATTTTCTTATTTATTTGTTCAGACTGAAAAATTCATTGATTTTATGATTACTCCTCTTCTTAGTTTTTAAAAAAAAGATATCTTCAAATTACGCGGGCAAAAGAAAGTAGAATTCGTTGGATTAGTTAAAGGATTGAAAAATTGTGATCACTCATACCCAAAATAAGTTTTAGATGGCCAAGGAATATAATTACGCATAATTATATTCACTCGACTTTTGCTCGAACATCACCTACATCAATACTGTCAAAGAATAAAGAAAGAAAGCACACAAGCAAATTAGTTCCTGAATCAGATTGGCTTCTGAATCTGATCTTCTCCTCTCCTCTCCTAATAAAAATTCATGTGTCATAAAATTTTCCTATCTTTTTTTCAGCGAAAAAATTAATGGCTAGCCATTGCTCTACAATATTTCTACTTTCGCTAGCTGTTAGTGTAAAATTTCTGGTGATAATGTAATAGTTCATTCAGATTTTTTAGTGACAGGTTTGTTATATTCGAGGTAGAAGCCGATTCCTTGTTTCTTATTACAATGATTCAACCTTTACTTATTCATTTACCTTATTCATCTTCCAAATACCATTTTGATAAATGCGATAAAAATATTAGTGGGAATTTATAAGTGCAAATAAGACTTAATTCAAAAATCGAATTAGCACTACCAAATAAGATTCCATTAATTCTTTCTCCAAATTCGATAAAATTTTGCAATTTTTTCTTTAAATCGACTTCAGCCTTCATAATTTCTTTTAATTTTGATTTATTTCCAAAATTCATTTCCGATTTTGCTATTGGTTCTTTTTTTATTTATTTCTAGTTTTGTAAGATTTTTTTGTACGTTTGAAATTTGAGATTCCAATCCTCTTATTTTCAAAAGTATTTTTAGGTAGACTTAGTTTATTTTATTATGAAACAATAAAACTATTGTCTTTAGAAGCAAAAGCTGGAGCTTGGTCTTTGGTTTAGTATAAATATGAAAAATAGTATCATCAAAGGACATTATCAATTATTATCAATATTATCAATTTTTTTCATTTTTTTAACAATCCCTTTTGGCTGTAGAAACTGAAATTCTTTGATAAAAGTGCAACTCTTAATCATCGAAAGTTCTATCAAATAAGTAATCCATTAGCAGAAAAGACCATCCACAGACCTGAAATCTACAGACATTTTCTTTTTATTCATTCAACTGATTCATCGATGTTGAGATTTTTAACTTTCCTCAACGATAATAATAATTTATCAACTGAAAAAAATTAAAGGAGAGGAAACTGTGTTTTCTTAACCATTTTTAAAGTGGATAAGAAAAAACCGGAGAGCGAAAAAAGGTTGTAATAACAAATTATGGTTCCTTTTTTGTGATCAAATTTCATCAACACACACCATTGCACATTAAAAATGCAAATTATTTCGTTCGGAATGAAAAAATGAAAGTAAGTATTAGTGAAAATCGTGTATAATAGCTGTCCAAAATCAGCGTAATTGATTTCAAATCAGTGTGTTTCCACATATCGCTTTTCCAATAATATTCTACAAATTTAGATGGTATGATAAGCAAATCATACTATATATTATAAGGAGGAGTGAAGAATAGTAACTTATAATCTCGAAATTCTCAGCACGCAATTCCCATGTTTAAAATCAGGCAAGTTTTGAGATCCACTTGGCGATAGAAGTACAAGTAAGGCGCAAGCATCACGCTAATTTTCCAAAGATAGATTTGTTCCTGCTGGAGCAGAACTCCAGGATTGTCGCTTCGAAAAGCGGGTAGCAACCCATTGAGCCGTTCTATCTCCCTCATTTGGTTATTGTAGAAAAAATTTTTTCGCAAAAAAATCTTTTAAAATTTGATTTAAAAAATTATAAAATCTTCAATTCTGCAATTCTGCAATTATAAAATCTTTCTTTGCAAAAATTTTCTAAAACTTCGAAAGCTTTTTGAACCAAAAAATTAAAATTTTTTTAAGAATTCAAGCTGAGTTAAAAAGAATAATTACTGTTTTCTTAAATAATTTAAAATATGTAATAATTTAATTTAAAATATATTTTTTACTTCAGTGGATTCATAAAAATACCAATTAAATATAATTTTAAAAAATTGGCCTTCTTTAAGAAAACTTTTGAATTATTAATATTGATAGAAAATTTCGTGAGAAAATTGGTTTTAAGGAAATTTTTTCTTTGTAAGTAAGATGCAACTTTTTGTAAGTAAGCTTTTTGCCTTAAAAAATTTAAAAATTCCAGTTTTGCGAAACAATTGTTCCATTTTTCTCGACCGACGAACTCAAATACACTTTCGGAGTGGAAAAACTGAGCGATGGTAAAATTACCTTTAAAAATTTCTTAGAAAAATTGTCTAAATTAAAGATTATTGATAAAATCACTATTTTTTAATGACTTTTTATGATTTACATAATAATCATACTATAAAATTGGTAATTAAAGTAAAAAAATAGCCATCAATCATCATTTTTGGTCAGAATCGCTTGGTGAGAAATTTTGTCAAGGAGTCACTTCTGAATAAAAATAAGTTAGCACCACATAAATTTTTTGGTGACAGATTTACTGCTATCGGATAAGGACTGATCGAATAGCTTGAGGATAGAAATAATAATAAATAAAAAATAATTTTCGATATTTTCTTTTTTCTCCATATTTTTTCTCTAAAATTTTCGATATTCACTTGATAAAATTTAAATTAAAATATAAAAACGATAATTTGCAAAGTTTTTAATAAAACTGAGAAAAATTCTTTTTTCTACTGTTTTCTTTTCAGTACCTAATTATGATGAACTAATTCCTCAAACATCCTACTCAAAGGACGGTCATTTGGAACGATTATTCATAAATATCAATGATAAAAATCTGGAGCTTCCATTTCAGCCTAGCGCTTCTATGCTAATTTCTCCACATTGGGCCAAAATTTTCCGTCATAAAAATGGAAGTGGTCATCTCAGTATTGGTGGCCAGATCAAACAGTGCCATTATCAACATAAGTCCAATCACACATATGCAGCCGTGAGTACCTGCGATGGTCATATTGTATGTTTGTCAAAACTTGCCTAAATTTATCTTTAAATACTATCTTTTAATTCTTTCTTATCGAATATTAGAAAAATTAGAATGTGACTAACGTTTAATAATACTTGCGTAAATTGAATATTACACACCATTTGAAAAATTGAAAACTGGAATAACTTAATTAAAATACCAATATAGTTTTTTCAATCCTAGTTTTCAATCCTTTGGAACTTTGAAACTTTTTTAAATTTCTGCCAAATATATTAAATTGTTTATGTTGGTGAGATTCAATTTCTAGAAAGGTGTCATTATTCGACCCGATGGACTTTTTCTCATTCATCCATATCCAGAGCGCTACGCATATCGCTCTAAATCCATTACAGGTAAGTGAACATCTCGAAAGACTTTAATATTTCAATATTTTCTTGATGCTTTGAATTTATACTTCATTTTTTCATTAGATGGCCATGGAATGCATGTAATTTTCAAACGCCACGTCAATCAAAATGATTTTTGTGGTCTTGAATCGACTATCTCAGCAAACGATTTAGATAGCGATGAAAATGCAATAAACGAAGATGTTTTTGTGATTGGACAACGATTCACTGCAATAAGCGACCTCGTTGTAAGTTTTCATGCTAAAAAATGGACTATTAAAATGAAAAGAATAAAAAGATTGCACAAAGAATAAATAAATAGAATTATGGTGCAAAACAACTAATTAATCGGCATTTGCCATCATTTTTTCAATAATAAACTTTAATATTTGCATATTTCAAAATATTTCAAAAAATCGAATATCTTTTGAAATACTTTTTTTTGTATTTTTATTTACTTTTGTTTAAAAAGGATAAACGACATCATTCATGTTTCACTTTGTAAATTTTCTATTTTTTTTCATAAATATAAGCTTCGTGTTTAATGTGCGAGTATGCTTGAGAGTATAAATATAGCGTTTCTCCATGATAATAATAAAATTTAAGCTCATAATTTTTCAAAGATATTTTTAAGCCATCACATACAGGTGCTTCAAAGATATTTTAAAATCATTATAGACATATATGTCATGAAATAAGCTAAAATAAGCAAATCGAATATATTAAGAAATGCTATATTTTTTCGGTTCTGAATTGTCGCATCATCCACTTTAGCCCCTTCCACTTGACAATAGCAAACGTTGAAAGAAATGCCCTATATTTCTTAGCCTTTTTCTTAATCATTTTTACCTGCTAATCAGTAAAGCAAAATATTTCATTAATTAGAAAATATGCCATTTTGAAAAATATGACAAATAATTAAATTAAAAATTATCTTTGTTGTCTTCCTTCAGGTAGAATTAGCGATATTTGTTGATGAGCTGTTGTGGCGTCATTTCAATAGTAAATATAATCGAGAAGCGTATTCAAAACTACAAGATTACGCTCTGACCATGCTAAATAATATACAAATCATGTATCGGCAACCAACAGCTGTTCCACCACTTACATTTCATGTTGTCCGTTTCGACGTTCTGTCAAGTCAACCGGTACAAAATCTTAAATCTTATTATTATTATTTCTTACCACCAAAATTCAAGCTTCATAATCAGTAACGATTTCATGAGATAAACCTTTTAAACCTTTTAAATCTTCAAAGTTTGGACTTAAAATTTTTTTTAATTTATCATTTTTTTTAAATTTATCAAAATTTATCGATTTTTTAAAATTTTTCATCTTTTTAAAATTATTATTAAAATGATATTGAGCATTAATCGATCTTGAAAAAACAGAAGAACAAGGATGTTTTTAAATGAAAAATTTTGTAGAATGCATTGGCTTCAACTTTGCATGATAATGGCCACGCTCAACGATACCTTGATAGATTTTGCCGATATCAAAGATCATTGGGAGGACGAGATTGGGACCACGCAATTTTGCTCACAGGGTTAAAAATTTTTGAAAGTTTTTATATCAGATCTCTCGCATTCGTACTTTTCTTGCAATTAATTTCGGCCTGATTCAGACAAAATAGGCTCGTGAAATGAAGAATTGGCAGATCAAAAAAGAAATTTTTAAAGTTATATAATATTATTATATAATAATATATATAATATTATTATGTATGATATTATTTATTAAATCATTATTTATTGAATTTAAAGATATGATATACATCGAGGATCTGGGTCTAGAGCAATCAGTGGTATTGCGCGTTTAGATGGCATGTGCGATCCATGGAACACTTGTACACTTGCTGAAGGACTGGACTTCACATCAGCATTTATTGGCACTCATGAAATCGGGCACAGGTTAGTCTTTGATTCCAATTTTTGATTTGTAGAAAAAAATAATCAGCAATGAAAATTTCGTCAAATGTATTCAAAAATTTGAATATTATATTGACTATATTCACCGTTATTTTATTTTATGTGTCATATTATTTATTTATATTTAGTCTCGGAATGCGACATGATGAACCATATTGTCCATCAAAACACATAATGAGCTCATCTTTGGGTCCAGGCAAGGTAACCTGGTCAACTTGCAGTCTCAGAGATTATCATGCATTTTTACAGCGACTGGAGTAAGTTTTTTAATCTTAGAAATTTTTATTGATGCTACGCCATTGATGCTACTAACCGCCAAGGTCAAAGGAAGTGTTTTATAAGTATAATTCCGGTTTCGCAAAGTATAATAAAATGTTTCATTTTTCAGTGATAGAGGAAAGAACTGTATGAGAGTTTCAAATTTACCTCAAAAATTAACGATGCGAAATGATATTAGGCCTGGCCAACTTTACACTGCTGATCATCAATGCCGCTTAATGCATGGAGAGAATTATCGACAAGTAAATTTAGTTTTTTTTTGTATAGCGATAAAATAATGGAACCATGATCTTATTCAGTGAGTGTAAGTGAGTGCATACCGTTTAAAATATAAAAATAAAGCATGAATGAATTTGATGGGAATGAAAATAAAATGCTGCTGATAGAAGTATGGAGATTAATTGAGTTCAGGATACTTCTGCTATTAACATATATTAAAGTACCATGGTATGCATTTAAACAGTTTGTACAAATTTATGAACAAATCTAATTGGAAATTTTTAAGGGTTTAATTGCAAAAATATTTCTTTGGCTTGCTATGTAACTGGATAGGGCTTACAACTAGGGCTGAAAAGACAATTTTTCAGTTCAACAGCTCAATTATTTATGGATCTCTAGAGGTTCAAAAAATTCAGGAGGTGGTTGAAGCAATTTCATAGCATAGAATTTTTTGTGAAGTATGAAACATAGCAAGTTGTATTGTTAATAGAATTCAGTGTTTTTGCAGATATCACCTCGACAAGATCATTATGATGGAATATGCTATATGATGTGGTGCGGTACTACTTCATTTGGCAGAATTGTGAGCTCTCATCCTGCTTTAGAGGGAACATTTTGTGGCGCATCAAAATGGTGCGAGCTGGGTAGATGCGTACCATGGACTGGCTCTAAATTTGCCCCACAAACTGCCAGTCAATCACCAGTGGTAAATTCGCATTTCTTATAAAATATGTTCAAACGACGTAGATTTTAAATTGGCACAAAAAAACTCAGATTTCATTAAATATATTTCAATATTTGTAGTGTTTATTTTAACTTAAAAAGAAAAATGTAATGCGATGATAGGAATGCCAAAAAAACGAGTTTACCTAAGCGGCTCGATGATTTACCCATTGTTAAGACTGCATATGTCAACGTGAATTTGCTAGCAAAAAATGCTGCTTGAGCTGTATCGATGTGATTTTTCTATTCACATCCTATTTTATTAGCAGCAAGTTCAGCTGAGGCACATTACGTCAGGCGTTTCAGATATTTTTAAATTTCGGCCACTACCTAACGTCATCTAAGCCAAAAAAAGTCATCGCAATGCTACAAAATTTTTTTTTCAGCGTATTAATGGAGAATGGTCGAGTTGGAGTGCAACTGCTTGCGATTCATGTTCCTGTCATGATATATCAAATAGCATAGGACTAACTATCAGTACAAGGACATGTTCTAATCCATCACCGTTAAATGGAGGCCGAGAATGTATCGGTGCTTCTATTCGAGGCATTGTTTGCAATCGTAAATGTCCAAATACTCGAGTAACCGTCGATGAGGTTCTTTCATCTTTAATCGATTTTTCTTCAATAACTTTTCTATGGTATTCCTAAAAATTTTTTAAGATTTTCTCAACATGGTTAGACAAATTTTTGATTTTCAATAAGCATATACAATTCATTTTGAGTAATTACATACATGTTACATACATATCAAGGAATCATAACATTTTTCTAAGTTAGAAAAAAATTGAAATGTCTAGACACGGAGTTTTTAAAAATTAATTGTCAATGATCTGTTGATTTCCGCTAAATTATTGCCAATTGAAGTTGTTTGAAGGTTTTCTTGTGAGGTTTTTATGGAAAATTTTGAACATATAGTAGAATTATTTGTCATTAGGAATTTATGCAATATATTAGAAAAATCACTTTTTCACTTGGATTTCACTTGGATATCATCTTTACTGATTGGGTTTACCCTCTTTAAACCAAGAGAGCATTAGAATTGTCAGGCAAGTGTTCGCCTTTGGCATAACGTATCAGAGAAATAATCCAAGTAATAGGGGCGACAAATACTTGCATCGTCATTTGACAAAATTTCCGGCAAAAATTTCTCATCATACTAACAACCATACTAGTAAGCCCTATACAAAATGTTTAGCGGAAGCCATATTCATGTTGTTTCTACACCAAAAATCAATGTAACACCTGTTGGATATGGTGGATACCCATTCAAAAACAAGTCAAAAATATTTATCTGGAAAACAACGATATTTTTTTTCAGTATATAACAGAAAAATGCACTGAGCACAAAAAATTAAGAAATGACGACGAACTTACTGGGAAAGGGAGTCAACTGAATCGTTATCCACAGCGTGCATGTAAGGTAAGCTCTTTTATAATAAAATATTTTTTTGATTTAAATGGAACTTTTAGCAATTTTAATCTCAAACAATTCTTGTTTAAATTTTAGGGAGATAATCTTAAATTTTCAAGAGCAATATTTTAGGTTTTTTGCGACGTTTCCAGAAAATATGGTTCACAAAGAAATTACCGATTTTTTGGTAATAATTTGCCAGATGGATCGCCATGTGGCATCAATAAATATTGCCTGGATGGAGAATGCATTGTACGCTTTTTAGATTTTTTCACTTTTTAATTATTCCGGATTTCCTTTTCGTACGATTTTTTTCTGCGATTAGAGGAATATATCATATCTTTTTCCTGCATTTAATTATAATTTTGAAACACCAAAACTTATCGCATTGAAAAATTCTTGAAATTCCCTTCTCAAACTGACCAAAATATTAACTTTCTGATTAATATAGGCGAAAGAATATTTACAAAAACTGAGAAAATATTTACAATGTAAATGAGAATAATATCTTCGCGATTCCAGGGTTTGTGAACTACTTCTAGTTCGACGCCTTGCTCATTTTTTAATACTAAATTTTTGTCGCGATATGCTTATAGATATCTTTTTTTGCGAACAATTTCTTTTTCGAATGACATCTTTTAATTTCATTATTTATCGTTTTTTCATGCCTGCAGACCTACACTTTACTCCATCAGCGATTTATTTGGTTTAATGTTTGCAGCCTCTTTCTTGTGATGACACTTCTTTGATCACTAGAGATCTTTTATGCCCCACAGAAGGATGCCCTCTGTCAAATGAATATACAAGTAGCAGTAACAAATGGTCAGTATGGTCACCATGGTCATTTTGCTCAGAAACTTGTGGAACGGGTTATCGGATGAGGTTAATAATGAGATTTTTAAGGAATAGTAAGATTATTTCATATCATTTAAAAATTTATTTTTGAAGAACAAGAACTTGCAACGGTTATGGGTGTACTGGATCAGCAACTGATCGAATCGCATGTAATCTGTCACCTTGTCCAACAACCAAAACTCCTTATACGAATGCATGGAGCGAATGGACAACATGGAATCAATGTTCAGTTTCATGTGGTTATGGCTCTCAAGCACGATATCGCCGCTGTGTATCAGCAACTTCAACAAGCAATGCTTGCGCAGGTAAGAAATGTTTTCCTTTATTTGCATTTGCATTTGAATTTTTAATTTAATTTATTCGAATTTTTTTTATATAAATTCTAACTTTGTAAAAATAAACTTAAGGAAAAACTATGGAAATACGAGAATGTAAGATGGAAGTATGTTTCACAGGATTGGTAGGATTATGGGGTTCTTGGGGAGAATGGTCCCAATGCTCTCGAACTTGTGGACCTGGAATACAAATAAGGAATCGGTACTGCACTAAGGTATTCATCGGTTGAAATTATTCGATCAAAAAACATTATTTTACTGAATTTGTTATTGATTTAACTTTTTCATTTTCATTTTATCGTATAAGCTTTAAAGGAACCTTGCGATGGCTCTGGACAGTCAAGAAAGTCATGCAATCTGCGATCATGTGGCGGAATATCACAACAATGGTCAGCATGGAAAGAATGGTCACAATGCTCACAGTTATGTGGTAGGGGATTGAGGACAAGAATGAGGTAATTTTACATCTTCAATTTTACATCATCTGCAAATAATTTTCTATATTTATGAGCACTCAATTATGAATCTGTATTAATCAGCTAATTCCAATTTGTTCGATAATAAAATTTTAGAAAATGCTATGGAAGCGATTGTATTGGGAATAGCATAGAACAACAATTTTGCAATGAACAGCCATGTTTGGCTCAAAGTGGCCGATGGTCTGGTTGGTCGCCTTGGGGAATATGCAGTGTCACTTGTGGAGCTGGAATTAAACGTCGAACGCGACACTGTATTTATGGGAACTGTGCTGGAACTTACAGGGACTCAAGCACATGTGATCAAGGAGCTTGTAGTGATTCGACGGCCACATGGGGAGGTAAGCAAGATTTAGAAAATTTGTCGCAGATCACACAAGCTGTTAGTTCTTTAGTTACAACACAGCCAGATTATACAATCAAATCAACCGTCGACGGAGCCAACACATTAGGCTCTACAACTTCTTATGATCTGAAACTAACTAAATCGTTTCAAATATCATTGACAACAATGAAATTGGTCGATTCATCCAATGGCAGCGTTAATTTTTTATCTGTGGATATTTCCACTACACCTAAAACTTTTGGCTTACTTCCGAATAGAAAGAAAAATTATCGTAGATTTTGGTTATTTAGTAATGGAACCTTTTCTCGTTCCGAGCAAATTGACCCTGAATTTTTGAATTTTCTCAAAAATATTTCTTAACTGTCTTTTATAACCACTTGATCCATTGTCTTATCTTGTCGTATTTGATTATTTATCTTTTAATCTAGAATTCATCAGAAAAATTCATAATATTTGATAATTTTCAATGTTATTATAACGTATTTGCTGTGAATCTTGCATGGGTCGATGTTTTTTACACTTAATTTCATACTAATTCATTTCCACTTTTATTAATTTCTATTGCTTTGATCTGAAAATTTAGTCCTATTTACTCACAAGGATAACGGAGATTGAATTGAGATTGAGATTAATTTGCTTTCTATCATTTGAATATTTTTTGTGTAATTTGAAAAAACGCACAAAAATCGCCATTATTTGATCTAACAATTAATTATTTGTAATTCAACGATCGCTTTAATTTTAGGATGGGGTTATTGGTCAACTTGCTCAGAAAGTTGTGGTAAAGGAATTCGGAAACGAGTACGAAAATGTTATAGCAATGCGGCAACATCAACAGCATGCGCTGGTAACGAGTATGAGCGTGAAATTTGTAATTTGGGGTCATGCTAACAATCGTTCATCGTTTGATATTTATAACTCAGAGGTTTTAAATCAAACAGATCAGCCACTCATTACATTTTACTCCAAGAGCATGTAGTATTGATAAAATGCATGTTGTTGGCATGATTTTGAACTCAGCAACTAACGATAATACCCATATCAATGTATCAATTTTCGCATTTCATGTGCCCCGTTGGTTTTTATTATGATCTTTTTTCAATTTTTCTGGTAAAAAGAAGACAAACAAAGCTTTAAATTAAGCTTGTTGTCAGCGATTGCGTTCATTTTTCTGGTTTTCTGATTTATGATTCCTGATTCTTTCGACTTTTTTTCAAGTTTAATTATATGAATTTAATTACTTATAATGATTAAATTAATTGACGTTTTGCTTTAGCCAGCGGTAATCGAATGCAATAAGTTAAAAGTTTTTGTATAAAATTTTAATATAATTAATGGTTATAATTATAGTCAGTGTCTAATAATCCAACAAACAGATATCCTTTTACCACACTGCATTCATTTGTTATTATTATTGCTATTATTATTATTATTATTATTATTATTATTATTATTATTATTATTATTATTATTATTATTATTATTCATAATAATGTCTTTAATCAGGTGATATCATCTAAACCGATCATTTTTGTATACTGTGATTATGATTGACCTGCCAGTTTGATTTGTCTTTTGGTATTGCAGCAAAATCAAATAAATTGAAATCAACTGTGGGCTGCATTATTTGCATAAACATGAGCTAAAAAATAAGCATCTTGGATGGATGAAGATGTTTGCCCACAATTGCATTTTAACACTGCCTCTATTGAAAGTTTATCTAATTGTAGTTGAAATAAAATATCGAGATTTATAAATTTTGCATATAAATAGGTAGGTTTTTGTATGCAAATAAAAAAAACTTGTAATATTTTCGAACATTTTTTCCAAAATTTTTGGTAAAAATTGCAATAGTTTTGTTAAAAATTAGTTTTTTGACTTTATTCTTTGTATCGACAATAATTTTTCCATATAAATGCCTGAATAGAATTTAAAAAAAGCGAAATCCTTGTTGCGATCCAAGCCTTTTGTAATTTATTGTGCTGCATTATAAATCTTACATGAATTGTTTTCAAATAATTATAAAAATTTTGGTGTTGGCCATTCGTAAATCTATTATTTGTACTTATTTGAAGTAAAAACTGAGTAAATTTATTTCTGCCCATAAATCTTGGAGTCCAACGTGTGTACCATCGTTTATTCATCATTTGACAAAATGGTCAGTCAGCCTTTTTACTGAAATCATCATCTTTAATCGCATCGATTATATTCTGCCATCAATTTGCTTATGCAATAAACTCGGAAATTTGGGTGAGGGCTTTTGGATTTTGAATATTTTAAGCGCAGTGCCTAGTTAGTGGATAAATAAATGAATATTTATTTAATTTAAGATGCATGCGAAATAAGAATCTCTGATTTTCAGGCTATTAAATCCATTTTATATTCCACTAGGATAAAAATTAATGTTTTAATATGAATGCAACCGTTTAAGCAAAAAATACTTGTATTTTATATTTTTAATAAATTTATAGGTGACAAATAAATATTCTATATTTTGTAATGTAGAAAAATTTCCATTATTTCCTACTAATTTTTCAACTAAGCTGTTAATTTAATAATTAATAATATCATTGCTTTAGTGAATTTTAAATTTTGCGAACGATTATAGTACTTTTTTGAATGATTAATTGACTGAGACTGACTTGAGAACATTAACTGTAATTTTGTTACAAAAATTAGTGTTTTATTGACGACACTCAGCCAGAATTTGTCAATCATATCAGTAGTACTCGAATTTCTAAGATTCTAAATTAACAATCGTGATGATTAATGCAATTTATTAAATTAGTAATTTTTTATAGTAGCACCCGGCTTTTCAAGAAAAAGTTTTAATATTTTAAAAGCTATTGAATTTAGCTAAAACAAGTATTGAATTTATTTATTTATTTTTTGCCAATCTTTGTTTTCTTTTTAATAGTGCCCATCATTTTGAATTAGGTTGCTTTGACTCATTGTCAGAAACTTGTTTGCCAGTGAGCCATGGAGAAATATATATTCCTCAACACCACCACCCAATTTTTAATTTTTATAATTTTTATATTCGCATTAAGGGTCGAAGATTGAACCTGCTGAAGATTGAACCTGTCGAAATAACATGCCACTCCAGTAGAATGTCGACTCAAAAGTATTAACTCTTTTTTGACTTATTTGTGAATTAAAAGGGATATAGCACCAGTTAAATCGGGTAATTATGTCGCACTAATGCTTTCTTATTATATATCAATATCTCCAAAGAAGTATTAAATTCTACCATTTATATTTATGCTGATTTACTATACTGTAAAATTGATCGTTCTCATGACAGATTAGATAGTTTGCCTCCGCTAAAAACTGAATTGCCAACTGGTTACATGATAAATTCGAAAGGATTTATTAGATCTTCCTAATTTTTTAAATTAATGGCAACATAATAAAAGACTCTCGGATATCTCAAATCTTGACACAATTATGGATGAAAATCTCGATTTTACCACAGAACGATGGTAAAGAAATTCTCAGTCTTCAAGAATGATAAATTTTTTTTTTTGGTGCATAAACAAAAAAAACTCTTCTTATCAAAATATGCGAGGCTTTTGTTCGTCTTCTTCTTGATAATGCAACCTGTTGTTTCCCTAGATACCATTAATCAAATGAATTAATTAAAGGACTCCAGAAATGCTTCATACATCGTATTTCTCCCAATAGCAACCTTAATTATAAGTTCACCTCAAGTATATGACCTCTCAATTAAGTTAAATAAGATTTATTTTATCCATATAAAATTCTATATGGTTATATCAAATTCGACTGCTCCGAATGTACAATTTTAGGTTAAATTTGAATGCCAAACAACATCTAATGAACTAAAATTGTTCTATATGCAAATCTATAGGTAAATCTAAACTACTAAGAACTAACGCCTTCATCAGTCGCACCAGTAATTACTGAAATAAGCTACCGAAAGATGTAGTATGTGCATTATGTGCACTAGTTATTTTTAAGAAAGATTAGGTAATATCTATGATATTGTTTAAAAACTTCATATTATGCAAGAAGGTTTAAACTGTGGTCTTTTATCATTCGATACATATCAATAATACATTCAGTTCGATTTACGCTATTTTCTAACTCTTCTTTATTTGCATTGTTAGCTTATGCTTTTTTTCTTTTTGTATTTTTATCACCAATTTTCTGTTATTTGCTGTTTCATTATTCTATTTGCTGTTGTAATGCAAGCACATGACGCTTGTCGTTTTACTTGGTTGATTTTAATAAAAATTAAAAATTAAAATATGCTAAAAAGAGTAAAATATTGTCGCCTCGAATTAAAGCCTTTTTTTATACAATGAAAGAATGTAACTAAAATTTTTCGTTTTAATTGTAATTCCATAAGAAATTTTGCTTCGTATTTCTAAAATTTAGATTGTTTGTGAAAATAATAAATTATTGTAGTTTGACTTAATACGGATTGATAAACATTGGTACTTTCAGTAATTTTTCTATAAAGATTCGAAGCAATGGATTCGCGTGCTGATTATCAAATAACGCGTTCCTCCATTTATTTAGCATCCAGAAAAATTGTCAAGATTAGCCCAATTAGCATTGGAAAAATTACTCACCCAAGACAATTATAAGAATGGCAATTACAAAAATGGCAATTTATGAAAAAATAATTACAAAAAACCGGTAGTAAAATAGAATGAATGATTGAAGTTTATCTTCAAAAACCAAAATTATCCGAATTCTTGTCCGAATTCCCATAATGATTGCGCAAATATTGGAGCACTGTACATCGAAGAAAGTGTGGTGTACAATATTTCCGGTTGTTTGACGTTTTCATTCAGAAATTTTTCATTTCTCTTTCAATTAATTTTTATTCATTTTCTTCACCTAATCGATTAAAGAGCAAGAAATAAAATAAATGGTCCTTGTTCAGACAATAAAAAATATTGGTTGATCTGTGATACTAGCTACTGGTTAATAAAAATCATTTATGACTGTTAAGCGATAAATAATATTTAGGGAGTAACTTTTCGCAAAAATGGCATCTTAGATGAAAAGCGTAATGCGGACATAAATCAAAATAATTCGAAAAAAAAACTTTTTCACCTTAGAAAACAATTTTCTTCCAAAAAAAGGAAATGAAGTAGAGATAACTGAATTTAAATATTTTAACATTCCAAGGAAGTTTTCAGGAAGACAAAAACTATCTATTAGCCAAATATGTTTCTTCTAAAAATTATAGGCAAACCAAAATTAATTCTGGTGATATCTAAAAATTTCTCCAAAAATAGCTTAATAAATGAGGGTTTAAAAAAAAATTTTGAAAATAGGTCGTTTGAAAATTTCTCGAGCACAATATACTTGTTTTGAAATATTACATTTGTACTTTATGTATTTTTTCAATAATCAAAACACACTTTACTTTATTATTTTTCAAATTAATTAAATGGGAATTGCAGCAAAAGTTAAATGTAGCGATTTAAGACGTGGTTTATTCCCATTTTTTCCGAAATTCGTTACATTTTAAGAGAAAAAATATTCATTAAAAGAGATTTAAGTAATAAGAAGTAATAATAGAAGCAATAATAATATATAAAAAAATTCATCATGATGAACAGTTAATTTAGCTTTTCACCAATTCAGCTATATTTTTCTCCACTACAACGCAAAATTTCGCCAAAATCAAAATTTTTTTTATTTTTTATGGAATGTGAAATATACTGAATGGCTCAGAAAACTTCTCGATTAATTCACAAACATGGTGCTTTTGGTTTTAAAAAGAAGATATCAGTCGAAAATTTCTCGTTGTTGGCTTACTGCAAATCGCTCATGGAAGTATTTTGAAATATCCACGTAGCCAGTGAATCCCTTGTAATGGTGCTATTAGAAGAGCACATACGAAGCCTTTG